TAGCTTGCATATAGTAATCTGATTCTCCTCCAGTGTATATCATCTGATCTTATCATCCTTGAAATAAAAATAGCCACCTTCTATTTTTTGTTCTCTACTTAAAGTTAATTGGAGTAGCTCGTTGTGTACATGCCTGTAATCTCAGCATTCAGGAGGCTGAGACAGGAGGATCAATATGAGTTCTAGGTTAGCCTGAAGTGATAGTGAGAACCTATCTCAAAACATACAAAAATACATTAAAAAAATAAAGTTAACTAGAATACATTTTAAGTAATTTCTCTAATGAGTGGCTGAAGACATTACTTTTGCATGTTAGCAAGTGGTTGGGTATTTATGGACTTTTCTTTTTTTTCTCCTTGAGTGACTTGCTGAGGTGTAAATGGTGTATGCTGGGTGTCTGCATACACTTGTGTTCCTTCTGCCCACATCTCTCAGAGTGCTAGGGTTACAGTTGTGAACTCCCGTACTCAGTGTGATTCTTTTTTAAATATAAAAATCTGGGAAGATTTTCTTTTTTGTCTTTTGAGACAGGCTCTTGCTAATGTAGTCCAGGCTGGTTTTCAGCTGAGAAGAAAACAGGCTCTTCTCAAATTTGTGGCAGTTCTTCTGCCTCAGCCTTTGTGGTGCTGGGATTACAGGCATGATTTAGTTTGGGGAGATTTTGCTTGTTTGTTTGGTTGATTGGTTGGTTTTTGAGCCAGTGTCTCACTATGTAATTCAGACTAGCCTTGAACTCACTATGTAAGCAAGGCCCACCCTCAAACTCAAGTTAATTCTACTGCCTTGGCCTTGTAAGTGCTGGGCTTACAAGTGTGCATTAGAACACCTTACCTGAGATTTTAGTGTAATCCTTTCTTTTTAATTTTTTATTTATTTGGTACAGGGTCTTGCTGCGCAGTTCAGACTTGTAGTGATTCTCCTGTCTCAGCCTCTCCAGTGCTAGGATTATAGGTGTGTACCACCACGCCCAGTTTTGGGGCTGGCATGGCATGCAGTACTAGGGATCGAACTCATGTCCTAGTACTTGTGAGGCAAGTGCTTAGTCCACTAAGCTGTAGTCCCCAGCCCCTGTAGTCCTTTTCTTCTTCTTCTTTTTTTAAATGGTGCTTTACCACAAATCTTTCACATATATTCTTATTTGACCCTTACAACAATCCTGTGAGGTAGGCAGCACAGATGTTTTTCTCATTTAACAGATAAGGAAAGTAAATCTCAGAGTGGTTAACATGCCCAAAGTTCTACAGTTAGTAAATAATTGTATTAATAGCAGTCTTTGGCCTAAAAATTCAGCACTCAGCTTCCTCTCATTTATGCCCACCTACTTCACAGGGAAAATGAAGATAAAATGAATTCAAGGCTAGAAAAATACTTTGAAGGAAAAAAGCACTATTTAATTATATCGTGCATGAACCCAGAACATTATATTACCTCTGTCTAAACTAACCAAGCAACTAAGTAAGGCAGGGTAACAGTGTGATCCTGTTTAACAATGTATAAATCACAATCAGGATAACTGCATTATTAAGTGAAATGAACAACAAACAAAGGCTAATGAGCAAGTAGGCCCCCCTAAAGTACACAGCAAAGCAAGGCAACATTATCAGACAGGACGTGATTGCATAGAAGAAAAAGTGGTGTCACAGTTCAAACTAGCACGGTTATCTAAGGCAAAGTGGTGGCAAAGAAGAGTTACTTGTTCCGCATTATATAAACAAGAGTAGAAAATTCATGGGAACCCATGCAAAAGCATCGTGTGTCACACAGATTTCTCCAGTTGCCTACAGGGACTATAAACACTGTTATCTTTCTTGTAAAGTATGATTGTACCTATGCTCATGTGCTGAACTAAACCAAGGAGCAGCTCCACGCTAAACGTCTTTGGGTAACATCTAACCAGTAGGGTTACTCACAATCAGATTAACAGAATGTCTTTTAAGGTAATGAATTAGATGGCTGTTGGGTTTCTTCAGGATTTACTTTGGCTCCATATTTCTCCTGTTTTAAGATCCAAAGAAAGTTGTATTGAGTTTTTATTGGTGATTCTGAGTATATGTGTTTATAACATTTAAATATGAGAGATTGGGGCCGGGGAAATAGCTCAGTAGAATAAGTGCTTGCCTGGCAAGCGCAAGGGCCTGAGTTCAATCCCTGGTTCCACCAAAAAAAAAAAAAAAAAAAAAAAAAAAAAAAAAAAAAAAAACATAAACAAATATGAGAGATGAATTTAACGTATTAAAAGTTCTATAGAATCTGTTCAGAAAGGATTATATACTATACAAATTAACGAAGTCATATAAAACCATTTTTCATTGTCTTTTCAACTGAGAAGAATCCTATTCAGCATGCTTTTCCTCCTGAGGTGGTTCATACTGAGCAAGCTTTGCTTTCAGTTTTTTATTTTCTTCTATAGTAGCTTCATATTTCTCTTTCATTTCTGCCAATTCTAGGCGAAACAGCTCAATTTCTGGATTTTCTGGGGTAGCAGCTCCTAAGTGATGCTTTAAAAAATCCAAGGCACTAGTAGGTTTCTCTGGTTCTTCATATAAGACTACCAACACCTTGGTCAACGTGTCCAGCACCCCTGACTTCTCCAAGTACCGCTGGAACTGCTCACCTTTCAAGTCAACGGCTTTGTAATGGGCCATAGTGACAGGGACAATGGCGTAGCTGGTGCTGGAGACCGTGGTCCTGTAGTCCTTTTCATCACTGTAGAATTAGACATAGCCGACTTGGCATTTTGTCTGTTCTTCCCTTGTAGTGTGATGTTGAGACAACTAATCCATGTCTCTCTTTTCTTTCCTGAAAAAGGGAATAATAGATTTGTTGTGAAGAATAAATAAGAGAAAATCTGAAAACTCTTTACACAATGCCCCAAACAACACAAACACTTAAATAGTAGCTTTTATTGTTACTGACCAGGTGTTAGTAAATTTTTTTTTTTTTTTTTATAAAGGACCAGATGATATTTGAAACTGAGCCTGGCTATTCCAATAAATCTGTTGAGAAAAAATAGACAACTGACCATATTACGTCCATGAGCTTTACTTTGTTGATTCCCTGTTCCTGACAAATAAAGCTTAACATATGGAAAATATTGTTAATTCAGTATAAGCCTGTTATCAAGAGACATTTAGGTTGATTTAAAACTTTACAACTTCAGACATTTAAAAATCTCAGTGTCTGAAACATATCCTAGTCAGTTAATTTTATAACAAAAATCTTGGGGCCAGGGAGATGGCTCAGTGGAATAACTGCTTCCCTGGCAAGTGCAAGGGCCTGAGTTCAATCCCCGGTTCCGCAAAAAAAAAAAAAATTTAAAAAATAAAAATAAAAATCTTGGGTACCAGCAACCATCAGAAATAAGCATTTCTAGATCTGTGAATACATGTTAGTGGAGAGCATCCTAAAATACACTCTTCCTTCCCACCTTAGACACATTCTGTAAAAATAATCTAGGGTGAGGGATATCGCTTAATGCTAGAATACTTGCTTAGTTTATTTGAGGCTCTGTCTTCATTCTCCAGTTCTGCAAATACAGCAAGACAGATATCTTAACCTTAGCTGGATGTGGCAGTGCACACCTGTGATCCCCGCCCCCCTCGCCTTTGGGAGGCCGAGTGAGGAGGATCTCAGACTTTGAAGCTAGTCTGGGCTACATAAGTGAGTTCAAGGCTGGCCTGAACTGGGCAGTGAGACCCTGACCCAAAACAAAACAAAAACAACCTTTAAAAATACATTTCTATTATATCTTATTTTGTGGGTCAAGAATTAGACCTGGTATATGTTGGTGATAACATGTTGCCACCTGGGGTTCTAAGGTGGAATTTATTTACACCTGATGAGTGGCCTGGCTGCCATGGACCATATAAGAGAGTTCTTTTACAAGTCTTATAGGAAGACTGAGTTCAGTTGAACCTGTCTTATACCTGGCCTTTAATGCATTTTTATCTATCTATGTGTCTGTCTGTGTGTCTGTCTGTCTCTCTGACTTTCTGTCTAATTTTTGGCCTTTTGAGACAAGATCTGCTATGTAAGTCAGGCTGGTACTTGAATTTGTGACAGTCTTCCTGCCTCAGCCTCCTGAGTGCTAGGATTATGGGTATGCCCAGCCCATCAGCTCTTCCTAGGGTATGTAGTGCTGCTGCATGTACTCCCGAGACTGCTGTGCTTTAAGCCTAGTGGAATGGGTTGGTTGTTCATTGGTTTGGTATGTTGGTTTTCAACAGAAGTCTGGAGCACTTGCTGCATAGGTGTAGCTCATCCCACATAGGTGACATCTTACTGTATTGGGCATCTAATTTACTATCTATAGTCTTTCTGGCCACCACTAAAGGATGAATCTGGAGGACATTATACTAGATGGAATAAATCAGTCACACAGGAACAAATTCGAGGCATCTGAAATAGAATGCTAGAGAATTGAATGACAATTGCCAGAACATATGGAGAGAAATGGAAAATTGTTATTCAACAAGTAATATTGGTTGTGCAGGAAGTATTTTCCTTCTGCTTATGACCCCCCCCCCCAATCTTGATTAAACAGTGGGTTTTGCAGTGAGTATGGGGATAGATCATAGACTGATGACTGCAGTGGGAAGGATGTCAGGCTTGACCTGTACCTAAGTTTGCATGACAAGCCCCCTGTGTGTATAAATTTTGTGTGTATATTTGGAGTGAATCATGCTGTGGCAACTGAAACTCCTCAGGCCCTTCTTCAGTGTGTCAGTTAGGAGGTTATGTGCTTATACTCTAAGACTTGGAGTCTTTTCAGTGACCTTTCACTTTACCTGTGTCCTGCTATTTCTTTCCTGTCAGCCTATTGTTCTAACAATGAGATGATATTTTTTTACCTATGTCTTTCCATCATACTTATATGTATATAAAAAAGCTCTTCAACCCTTTACTATAAATGGTATCTACCTCACTGTTACAAGGATAAAGAGCTCAAGGGGCAGTAGTTATTAGTGGATAACCATCTTCCAATTTTTTTTTTTTTCTAGAAACTGATTCAGCAGTACAGAAAGAACATAGAAACCAGACACCTGCTCCAGCTGCAGCTCAAACTTCAGCGCCCTCTAAATACCACCGAACTCGCGCTGGAGGAGCCAGGGATGAACGATACCGATCAGGTGAGACAGGCCTACAAAATTATCAGCTGAAGAGTTTTTACTGACTGCAGGGGGACCTGTGTCTTCTGAGAGCTTCTTGTGGTTGGCTTTAGTTTTTTTCCCCTGCAGGCACCAAACATCCATATTAATTCATCCATTGATCATGTATTTTAGTTCCTACTATGCATCAAAGGTAGTAGATGCTCAGTATTTTTGGCAGTACAACAGTAAATAAGACCATTTTACCATCAACAATTTGAAGAAAAAGAGCCAGGCCAGATCAAAGGCAATGTGAATAAGTAAGTAAAAGCTGAAGTTACATGGGTTTACTGGGTGGGCCCAGTGGACTCTTGAAGGAGGCAGGTCCTTCTGTGTTTGCAGATGTTTGTTTGTAGCCACAGTTTTGCTGTTCCAGGCTGGTTTGAAATTCTTAGGCTCAAGTAATACCTTGCCTCAGCTTCTAAGTAGATAGGAATATAGGCATGTTTGCTTCGTGCCTGGTTGTAGAGCTATTGATTAGTCCCTTACCCAGTGGAGCCGGAATAAAAACTTCAATGAAATTTTAAACTAGTGAACTAATTAAATTAGTGGTTTTATTTCTTATAACGCAGAAAGTACCTGTTTGGATGAGAAAGATCAGGTGCTATGCCTGGCAGTGGGAGCATGTTCCTACTTTACTATCCAGACCCACTTGATCACTAGGCATGGTGTCACATGCCTGTAATCCCAGCACTCAAGAGACTGAGGCACAAGGATCACTGCAAGTTCAGCCCCAGCCTGGACTACATAGTGAGACCCTGTCTCACAAAACATAAAGCAAAACTACTCAGCTATCAGTACCAGGTGTACCACTCCAGTTAGTAGAGAAACAAATCACAGAACTCAGTAGGATGTGGGGTTAACAAGCCCTTCTGATGGACATGCTGAGTGTCTTTGCAGCACATTTTGTGTGTGTGTGTGTGTGTGTGTGTGCATGCGTGCGTGCGTTCTGTCTGTCTGTATTTTAGTACAGGGTCTCACTACCCAGATAGGACTCGTAGTGATCCTCCTGTTTTCAGCCTCCCAAGTGCTGAGATTACAGGTACGTGCCACCATGCCCAGTCTCATTCGCTGGCTCGGTGTACCCCCAGGGCCAGGGCCAGCACAGCAAGTCTGGGAATCAAACCCTAGTCACTGTATCTGCGTAAGCAGGAGCTTTAATTTGCTGAGCTGTCTGGCCAGCCCTAACATTTTGTGCTTTAAAGTATCAGAATTCAGATGAATATTACTCCACCTTCCAGATTTTTTATGATTCATGATTTTTTTTATTATCTGTAACTATATATTAAAGATAATATTTGTTATTAATTTATGCCTGAAAGATTCAGGAATATAAAAGAAACGTAAGTATATAAAAAGTTAATTAACAGTATAACAGTTGGGAAATTCTTTTTTTTTTTTGTTTTGTTTTGTTTTGTTTTTTGGGGTTTTTTTTGTTGTTTTTGGAAATTCTTAAGTTTGTTATTCCATAATATTAATGTTATTTGAGTAAAAGTGAATTGAGGAACAATTGTCAATAGAGTATTTAGCCCTATTTATATTGATCTTAAAAAATTTAGTAAAGAAAATGTTTTCACCTTTGATATTTATATAAAATGAAATCAGTCATATTTGAGTCAATATATTATTTTGAAATATAATTTCTCTTTTTTGTTTTTGCATGGTATAAGACTAGGCTGAAATGAAGATAAACTTTGATCTGTATTTAAAATGGCTATGCATACTTTATTTCCTTAATTTTTGTTTTTCCGTTTTTTTTTTTTTTTTTTTTTTCCCCCCAGAACTGGGGATTGAACTCAGACCTTTGTGCTTGCCAGGCAAGCTCTTACTCTACTGAGCTATATCCCCGGCCCTAATTCCCTAATTTTTGAACCAAAAATGAGAACATTGTAACATAAAATAATATTTGATATTTCTGGGTGTTTTTTGTGTTGAACACCCTTTTAAATATCTTCAAAGGTTATCTAATTAAATAAATACCAAGATAAATACTACATATTTTTCCACCTTCCAGATTTTGCCTTTTTGTGGGGGGAGTACTGGGGATAAAATTTGAAATCTTGCACTTGCCAGGCAGGTGCTTATGCTAAGCCGCTGAGCTATATCCCCAGCCCTTTGCTTCTCTTTTGTCCCTTCCGCTTCCCTTCCCCTCCCCTCCTCTTCTTGCCCCTTCTCCTTTTAAAGAAGTTATGGTGCTAGCAATTGAATGTAGGGCCTCTTGCATACTAAGAAAGTTCCATACCTACTGAGCTACATCCCCAGTTCACCGTAACCTTTTCATTTCTTGAATTGAAAAAGAAGGTAGATCATATCTTCTCAGAAATTGCCTTTGAGAAAATAAAGATGACCATTTGTGAGCTGATTTTACTAGTTGTTTATTTTCATACACTAGAAAGAAGGATGGGAAGTATTCAATCGGGGAAGAAAATTAAGGTTGCATACCACACCAGAATTTTCTCTTATACTTAGCCTCTTGAGTTACCAGGGGAGAGTTGTTCAGAGAATAAGCTGTCTAAGCAGAGTCATGTCAGAGTGTTAGATGGACAGATAGCACCAGATAGTAGACCCAAAAGTAGTTCACTATGGCCAGAAGTTAAAATGCAAGGGACTGGCCAAATATAGTGGCACACACTTATAATCCCAGCACTTTGGGAAGCCAAGGTAGGAGGATTGCAAATTTAAGCCCACACTCGACAATTTAGTGACTTAGTGAGACCCTGCCTCAAAATAAATAGAAAAAATCTTGGATGTACCTCAGATTGAAGTCCCCGACTTCAGTCTGCAGTACTGCCAAAGAAAACAGAAACAAGTTGATGGACAGAAGGAAGTAGAAGAGGCTAAAAAAGATGACTGGAAACCAAATTGTGTTTCATGTTTTGTTTTTGAGGCAGGGTCTTGCCATGTAGTTTAGGCTGGCTTTGAACACACTGCAGAGCCCAGGCTGGCCTCGAACTCAAAGGAATCCTCTTGCCTCGGTGTCCTGAGTGCTGGGATTACAGGTGTGTGCCATCACTCCTGGCCTTGGAAACCAAATCTTTAGAAATCTTCAGTGTCTGAAGATTTTCAGCAGAGCAGTACCCTAATCAAACTTTGATTTGCTTCGTAGTTCAACTCTAGTGGCAGGCTATATGCTTTACCACTGCTGTGTCCTAATGCTAAGTAGGTACTTGGAGAAAAGGAATACAAGTGGTTATCAGAGAATGAGTTCAAAGAAGGTAAGAAGGGAAGCAGCAAAGTGTATCAGGGGCTCTTCTTGTTGCCAAGCCCCCAACCACGATTTTATGGCCAGGTCAGGGTTAAGAGTAGCATGTTCTAGTCAGGCCAGAAGGGTTCTAGTCAGTCTGGAATAATTCTAAAGTCAGGCCAGAAGGGTTTTTGCCTTTATTACTCTTATTCTTTGGCCTCCTTGGAGTGTTTGTGTATTTTCCCCTGGTTTTCTTTTTGTTTGTTCATTTTGTTTTTTGTTTTTTTAAAAAAAAA